CTAGTTATCTCTCATGTGAGCATGAAAAGCTTTTTTTCACGGATGGGAGTTCCTGACAGAGTATATTAATTGAATGGAACGAATGTTAATTGAAAAGAAAAAAGTAGTTACTTACTATCCTGGTCTGTTCTCACAACATTAACAGGATCACTAGCTGGTCCATCTCCTTTCACAGTGGATGCAAACACTGTAATATTGTAGTTGACGTGCTCCTTTAGACCGGTCAATCCCTTTTCACGCTCTTCAGCACCAGCTGTAACTCTGTTTTTGTCATTCTCTGTTTGTGAGTGGTAAGTAATGGTGTAACCCATGATGATACCATTCTGGTGATCAGCGGGAACTTCATCCCACATGACTAAGATGCTGGTTGAGCTGCCAACCTGTCCTGTCACATTTTGTGGAGCACCATCAGGTTCTGATGTAAAAGTTCAAAACAAGTTAGCCGCTTAGCATGATTGGTTAGTTGAGCTTTCGCACATATATGTGTAAATGTTGTGAGGGCAGTTATTAACAATCTTCTTCTTTATTGGTTATCATAATCATTTTGTATGTTCCTATCTAGTCTGTTTTAATTACTTAATCTGTATACCAACAAGGTACAAGGTAACATGTCACACTGTGCGAAATTTACACTTTNTCATTTTGTATGTTCCTATCTAGTCTGTTTTAATTACTTAATCTGTATACCAACAAGGTACAAGGTAACATGTCACACTGTGCGAAATTTACACTTTATGAAATTAATAATAATAATAATTATAATAATAATATTAATAACAATAATTAACAATAATAATGATAATCATAGCTGCTACATTTTGATAGGGCGCATTTATCAACTCGATCAATGCGCGTAACAGTAAATAACTAACTAAATGAAATAGAACAAAATACTTAACTAACCAACCTTTAACTAACTAAAATAACTGACAAATTTATTACTTAAGAAAAATAACAGCCAAATTAATTAATTAATAGATGATATTTGCAATGTTAGAGCAGGGGTTTGTACATGTAAGAAGGGCAAATAATAGTAATAGTAATAATAATAATAATAATAATATTAATAATAATAATAATAATAATAATAAAATAATTAACACTGATAATAGTTATAGCTACATTTTTATAGGGCGCATTTCCCAACTCAATGCGCCTAACAGCAAATAACTAACTAAATGAAATAGAACAAATAACTAACCAACCTTCTAACTAACTAAAATAACTAACCAATTTATTACTTAAGAAAAATAAGGCTAATTAATTAATTAATTAATTAATTAATAGATGATATTCTGCAATGTCAGACCAGGGGTTTGTAAGAAGGACATCAGTAGAAAATGAAATCGCATTACATGCATCTCGAACACGTATGTCGCAAAATGCCTTCTAAAACTTCTAATGGCCACTTAAGTGTTCAGTATTTTGATCTCAATTACTTCAACATGATGAGTTCTTTCCCTTCAACTACAAAAATAGTCGCCTTCAAAGGACACACTTCTACTGATTAAATTTCTTCAATTAGTCTATACAAAGCACTAAGAAAATATGACAACATCCAGAAAAAAAATTGATAAGAAAGATAACTTACTATCCTGGTCTGTTCTTACAACAATGGGATCATTTAGTGGTCCATCTCCTTTCACAGTAGATGCAAACAGAGTGATATTGTAGTTGACATACTCCTTTAGATTTGTCAGTTCCATTTGACGAACAGAGGCATTTACTTGAACATTTCCATCGTCATTCTCTGTTTGTGACTTGTAAGTAATGGTGTAACCCGTTATGATACCATTCTGTTGTTCGGCTGGAACTTCATCCCACATGACTAAGATGCTGGTTGAGCTACTCCTCTGTCCTTGCACATTTTGTGGAGTACCATCAGGTTCTGATATAGAATTGAAAGCAGAATTATATTGCAACCAACGTGGTGGTTGTTCAGTAATTTATTAAACACTTTAAGATACGGTCACTACGGACTACGTTAGTACGCGCCTCGGACCTGGTTTGAAGTTTAGTGTGCATGCTCATTGGCACGTAACTTTCGTAGTCCGTCGTCTAATCGCTAGCTACTGGGAGAGGTCAGGCTGTTTTGTGTAGTGGGGACTACGCAAGTATTTTTTTTTTTTGAATTTCGAACCTCTATCGATTTCTAAATTTCATTTTTGCAAAACTGAATGTATTCGCTTTCTGAGCACTGCTTCGGTTGACAACACTTCCAAATTTATTCACGTTGATTACTGTTACGAGTATCGTTGCAGAGCAGGGCTGTTCCAGACAAAACTCAGGATCGCTGGTAACAGTAACAAACTAATTTATTTCCGTAAGATAACTTCACGAAGTTAC